TTTTTTTTGTTAGGAGATAGATTGTCTCAATTTGAACCAGAGAGACGGTAGAGCAGATTTGAGAAGCGAGTAGTGAAGAAAGAGCGACATAAAGAATAAGTTTAGTCACTCGCACGCGTTTATGGCTAGGAGGACGACGCCCCATGTGGGAAGGATTCAATGCCATTTCGAGTGACAAACCTGGGAAGATTGTGCGTCATTGTCGTGGGTAAGGAAGACATAAACATGTGTGTTAGCTTAATTGCGTTGTCCAACTACATTCACCTATGGATGATGATGCCACTGGTGTGATTGAGCGGTGTTGGCTTGCGGCAGTTAGTAGTAGTCAAGTCGAGCGCGATGATTTGTACTATGCGTGAGGAAAAATGGAGGGGTTGAGGTTCATGTGTTGTAGATGTGGAGATGTTGAATTGAATAGGGAAGTGTTTTAAGTTAAAAATTATGTTTTGATTAAAAGTTGTGTTAATGTTAAAATTTTGAATTTTGCCATAAAATAAAGAAAGAAATTTGATCTAAAGGATTAGTGATTTTGGATCGTGGGTTTGCAAAGAGCGGAAATAAATAATTGAGGTAAGGCTTAGAATTAATTTGAATTTGGTAATGTCTAAATTGAGTTAAAGTTATAGGTTATAATTTTTTTACCATAATAATTTATGAAAAAAGTAATAGGTCGAAGAAATTTTACTTCATAAAGATATGAGAATAGAATCATCAATTTTGCATAAAAAGATTAAGAAATAATTATGATTTATTATTTATTTGGATAATTAATTTAATTGAAACTTTTTAAATGGTGAATTTTGTAAATTAATTCCAGAAAATTAAGAATTAGATAATATTTGTATTGAGATATTTTAAGGGAACAAGACCATTGAATTAACAATAAAATGGAATGAAGTAAGTCAAATTTTAATTCTTTTTAAAAATTTTTAGAGAAGAATTAGATGTTTAAATTAATATGTTTTTTAAAAATACTTTAGGGTCTTGATTAAATAATAATAGTAGTCAGATAGAGGATTGGTGAATTGATTAAGTGGAAAAATTAGTTTATGAAGTGTTACCCGAAATGTTAAAAGTGAATAATTGCTATTTTATATGCGTGAAATTTTTGTTTGTTTTATTAAATGATATTTGTGCTATCAAAAGATAGTCTTAGAGCAATATAGATAAACTTAAATTGACTTGCATTGTTTTAAAAGAAATATTTTATCCTTTTTGTAAAGGTTTAAAATCATTTTTCTGATTGGAAGAAAATAACTGAAATGAAAATGGCTATTTAATGATTTAAATTACTTCACCTTTGCATTTTATAAAAGATAAAATAAAGTGGTTTAATGATGGGATGGAATTAAATAATTTTAAATGAAAATCAATTTTTAAGTCAATCGTAAGTCTCGCTTAAGATAGTAGCTGGAGGCATTATTGTACTCATGCATAAAAATTAAAATAAAAGGCAGGAAAAAATGACATTTTTTTCATGTTTGATTTCTTGTTTCTCCACAGCTTAATATACAAATCTCATATTTCGGTCAGAACTGCTTATCTCCTGTAGGAATTACTTGACTGATTAAATGATATTCTGTTTTGTATAGTTTTACTCAAAACTGTTATTTCGTTCGTAAGGTGAATACGTCTTAAGTTGGTTCTTGACTGTTCTTATAGAAATAATATACGTAAATATCTTTCCATGAGAACAATGCTGGAATCAGCTGAGTTGGATTGGAACCTGTAAAATTTAAGGTATGCTTGTCTCAAATCTAACCTAATATTCAATTTTAGTTTGAGTCAAGTCGATTTCTTCGCTCAAAATGGGTTGATTCAAAACTGGCTCAAATTTATTTTGTGTTGATTCCTTAACATTTATAGTGATAATAATTTGGTTTTATGTTCATGTCCTAGCTCTCTGTAGAATTTCTATTACTTTTCAATTTAAAAAGACATCTGGTATGCCTATATTTTGGGAAAGGGTTAACTGTTTGGATCACAAATTAACTGTGTACATACATACATATGCGTGTTTATATTTCCTGGTAATGAAGATAAAATTTTTTTAGAGTTGATGGAATTTTCTCTGTCAGCGTTTAATTGACCTCAGTAAGGCCGATTCAACATGTGGCGTTTGATATTTTAAAAAGAAATTTCTAGAGTGAATGACTAACTTCCTTGACTCTGCTTCTATGTATTTCTCTGATAATCCTTAGAAACTATACGCATCCATCTGAATTTGCCCGTGACCTTGCTTGTTTTTAATCATAACATCATTTTGGGCTTGCAATGGAGAAAATTGTGTGCATGCAGAACCAAGCTTTCACTTCTTTGAACTTGAATGCTTTTGAACGAAACCTTATTGAAGGTCCATAATGGACGATATAGTGACTGAGCAGCCAAACTTTATAATTCCATGTAAAGTGTGTTGTTTTTGTTTTTAGTGCCCACGTGTGCCCAACTTGTTCATAGTTTTCTTTGTACTTCTGACTTTGTTTTAACTTTTTATCTGGAAGCTCTTCAATAAAACTTTAGACCATGTGCTTCTTCTTTTTTATCTGTCTTCTTTCTACCAATCCTTATGCAATTTTTATACTCAACTAAAATAAAAAAACTGGTATTAAACTTTCATAGAACAGTCCGTTTAAAATTAGAAATGATTTTACCTTTATTGATACAAGTTTTTTGCGGTGCTTCTGAGGTAAATTCTTAACAAAAAGAAAATGAAAATAAAATTAGAAATGATTGTACCTTTATTGATACAAGTTTTTTGTGGTGCTTCTGAGGTAAATTCTTAACAAAAAGAAAATGAAAAAGGTAAATGATTAAAATGAATTAATAAAATCTATTATCAAAAGATAAGTTTAAATTTTACTTTGTAGTGTTTCTTTGGATTATTTACGTGTAATCATTTGCATAATTAATTTGTAATTAATCATTAGTGTACAGTAAATTTAATTTATTATTTAACTATTTTTTGAGGAGTAATTTCATTAGAATTATATGATTGATAAAAAGCTTGTTTATAGAAGGAGATGAGCTATTGGAAATAAGTAGGAGAATGTTTCGTTTCTATATTTAATTTCTTTTGTTTTTATCATTCCTCCATCTTGTTAATCCAATGTATTTTGTTAGATGATTTTTGCTATGTCTAGTAGATTAATGGATTTTTATTGCGGGATATTATTGTGGATTATTTTTACTATTAGAATTTTATGTTAATATCGTTTAAGCCTCAAGCTAGTTCGTTAGAGGTATAGTTTTGTGGGAGGATTGATTTTTTAAGTTATCTTAGTCAAATTAGTTTAGATTTTCTTATGGTTCTAGATGTACTATGATGGGAAAGTATTTTTTTTTAATGTGATTTAAGAAGATCTAATAGTGATTTGGATTTATTTTGGAAATGAAAGTGCTCCATCCCGTGCCCTGTTTAGGTATGCTATTTAGAGATTCTGATTACAGAATATAGAATTTTTTTAAGGGAAATGAAGCATATTAGAAAAATCTTTAGATATTTTTCCTAGCAAGAATTGGGACTTTTTCTCTTGAAAAAAAAGGTGAAACAAAGAAAGAAAAAAAGAAAGATATATACAATTATTTGACTTGAAGTGCTACTGTAAATCGGAAGTTAATTTTGTTTTAGTGAATATGATTTAATGTGTTGCGTCGTACAAAATTTAACATAGGTTTATTGTCAATTTGGAGTTTTATTGGTTTGTAACTTTGATTGATATCTTCCCAATCCAGGCTTAGGTCAAGATGAGATTAGGCTTGGGTTGGGTTGAAAACAAGCTGAGAAAGCTGGGTATTCTGTATTTATTTTATGTTGCGTTTACTTTTTCATTTGTTTTTAAACATTTTAATGAATTTTTTTAATCGTTATTTGTTTTGCGAAAGTAGCTAATTTTTTTCTCTCTATATGTTCAACAAAGCAACAACTTCAAGCCCTCATGGAAACACTTAACTCAACAGAACCTCATTATGTTCGCTGTGTGAAGCCAAACTCATTGAATTGCCCTCAAAAGTTTGAGAACTGGAGTGTCTTACATCAGTTGAGATGTGGGGTAATTATGAACTATTTGACTTACAAAAAATCTCAGTTCTATTTTCAAGTTTTTTTTTTTTTTTTTTTTTTTTCTTTTTTGTTTTTTTTTTAAACATAGGGTTTTAGACCCTTTTTTTTCATGTTTGATTTCTTGTTTCTCCACAGCTTAATATACAAATCTCATATTTCGGTCAGAACTGCTTATCTCCTGTAGGAATTACTTGACTGATTAAATGATATTCTGTTTTGTATAGTTTTACTCAAAACTGTTATTTCGTTCGTAAGGTGAATACGTCTTAAGTTGGTTCTTGACTGTTCTTATAGAAATAATATACGTAAATATCTTTCCATGAGAACAATGCTGGAATCAGCTGAGTTGGATTGGAACCTGTAAAATTTAAGGTATGCTTGTCTCAAATCTAACCTAATATTCAATTTTAGTTTGAGTCAAGTCGATTTCTTCGCTCAAAATGGGTTGATTCAAAACTGGCTCAAATTTATTTTGTGTTGATTCCTTAACATTTATAGTGATAATAATTTGGTTTTATGTTCATGTCCTAGCTCTCTGTAGAATTTCTATTACTTTTCAATTTAAAAAGACATCTGGTATGCCTATATTTTGGGAAAGGGTTAACTGTTTGGATCACAAATTAACTGTGTACATACATACATATGCGTGTTTATATTTCCTGGTAATGAAGATAAAATTTTTTTAGAGTTGATGGAATTTTCTCTGTCAGCGTTTAATTGACCTCAGTAAGGCCGATTCAACATGTGGCGTTTGATATTTTAAAAAGAAATTTCTAGAGTGAATGACTAACTTCCTTGACTCTGCTTCTATGTATTTCTCTGATAATCCTTAGAAACTATACACATCCATCTGAATTTGCCCGTGACCTTGCTTGTTTTTAATCATAACATCATTTTGGGCTTGCAATGGAGAAAATTGTGTGCATGCAGAACCAAGCTTTCACTTCTTTGAACTTGAATGCTTTTGAACGAAACCTTATTGAAGGTCCATAATGGACGATATAGTGACTGAGCAGCCAAACTTTATAATTCCATGTAAAGTGTGTTGTTTTTGTTTTTAGTGCCCACGTGTGCCCAACTTGTTCATAGTTTTCTTTGTACTTCTGACTTTGTTTTAATTTTTTATCTGGAAGCTCTTCAATAAAACTTTAGACCATGTTCTTCTTCTTTTTTATCTGTCTTCTTTCTACCAATACTTATGCAATTTTTATACTCAACTAAAATAAGAAAACTGGTATTAAACTTTCATAGAACAGTCCGTTTTTCCATTTTCATCCTTATTCTTCCTTTTTTTCGGATTATAAAGCATTTGATTCACAAATTCTTTATCATCTTTGTAGCTACATTCTTTTCTTGGAAGTTGAAACTCTGAAGGAATATGAAGAAGTATTTTTCAACCTAATTATACAACTCCATATGGTCCTCTCATTTTGACATCAAATTTTGCATTATACTTGGCATTAGGAAGCCTAGTCGCATCAATTATTTTCCAAATGTAAACTTGAATGTTGACATATACTTCAGAGAAAAAACTAAAATGTTCTCTTGGTTATTTGTGTCGAGCCATTCTAGTCATTTATGAATTTTAATGTGTTTAATTTAATCCATAGCCAACTAATATGATCCAAAATAGTCCCTCTATTGGATTATTTAAGATTAGATTTGAAGATTTGAAGGACAATGTGATCATAATTTACAAATAAAGTGACTACATTTAATAAATTAGATTGCTGACTTAAATAGCCCCATATAAATAGTTTGGGGGTTATTTTGAACTTTTTTACTGTATCTTGGTTGCTTTTTTTTTAAAACTATTATCAGTTGAGGACCTTATTGCATTCGTTGAAATATTTGGAATTTAGTGTTTCTTATGCATATTTGTGGGGCATCACATAATTTTCAACGTTATTTATGATTTAAAACATCATTAAAGAATAAGGATGGACAATGCTCTTCAATATTGGATTATAAGCTCGGATATCTCCTTTAAATCACCTTGTGAAATCAAATTAGGTTTTGAATATAATACTGTGAATGATTACGCGGGTGAAGAGTCACATCCAAATCTTTATTTTCTTCTGTGCCACACTGTTGTTAACATGTTTGGGTCTATGTTGTTTTCTTCTCTCTAGAACCTTGTCATTAGCAAATTCTCTATCAATTTGTGTGATCTTGCTTGGGAAGTTGTCTAATTTCATTTCTTATAGGGTGTTTTGGAGGCTATTCGGATAAGCCTTGCTGGCTATCCTACTCGGAGGACATATTCTGAATTCTTAGATCGTTTCGGACTGCTAGCTCTAGAACATATGGATGGAAGGTTGTTCAATACATTCTCTTTGAATTTACTCGTTTCAGGTGTTTTTTTCTTTTGTCCAGTTGGTATTTAAATGGTGTTTTCAAGCTTTTTCTTTTGTAAGATGGCTTTCATAAGTCTGTTGTGCTCTTGTTTAGTAAAATTTCTGAACCAATAAAAGATTTAACTTCAAAATCTGTTGCAACAGAAAATTTACCATAATGATATGGAATGTTCTTTTGGCTCTTCATATTGTCGAGTACTTGAGTCATGTATTGAACTGTTTTATATATTTTTTGAATTCTTTTTTGATTGCTAAAGGATTAGCTTCCAAAGTGAGAAAAGTTTTCTAATTGAGAAATCATGATTTTCTTTTTCTGGTCAGTACATCATGCTTTAATATTGTAATTACAATTATATTTTTTGAATTTTTAATAAACCATGATTCTCAGTGCATTATGGTTTAAAAATCATATAATCCGAGAAGGAAATTGCATGCATTTATGTTTTGGTTCTAGATATTCTAGCTTGCTTTGGTTTTAGTATATTGTACCATTCGCTTTGTACTTTACAGGAGAGCATACTTCAGCTCTAGTTTCAAGCATAGGTTAGTATTGGATGCCAGAGAAACGTGTTCTACTTCTACATTTTTTGATCTAGTGCAATGATTATTAATTGACTTATACTTTACTTCAGTTTGTTTCTTTTTTATTATTTATGAATTTTCATCGTCCTGGTTCTTTAAATTCATTTAGAGATTTTTCTATTTTTTTGTTTTGGTTTGCAGTTACAATGAGAAGATGCTCGCGGAGAAAATTATGCAGAAATTGAAACTGGAGAACTTTCAAGTATTTATAATGCATCATCTTCTAATACTAGTGTTTTTTTTTACTTGTCATGGCGTTGACTTTCTAAATTTTGAATTCATTAATTGGATCCTTTCGTCCCCTTTTCTCTATTGTTGTGAAATTATCTTGACATATATCGCTACAGTTAACAGTTCAGTTTTCTACAATTTCGTGTGGCTTCTGGATAATTCTGCCCACTATAAGAGTTGTTTTGGTCATATGAAAACCATTAAAATATCATTATCCCCAGCTTCAAGGAATTTGAACCAATTGTTGAATTAATATTTAAAAAAAATTAAGAAAATCATAGAGAAATTGATACCAACAAATTATTGAGTTGATTAAAAATTCACACAATTATGAGAGCAGAGTTTTTATTGTAAGGTGGATGACGCTTTGAATGTTGATAACACTGAAAAATTTTGGATTGATAGATTATGAACTTCATAGTGAGAGTAAATAACATTCTCATATGTAAATTATCATGACATTCTGAATTGACTATATTTCAAATTACAAAATAAAATAAAGATGTTTGAATATAGTTTAACTTACTTTGAAAGTAGATGTGGACGGCTACTAAATTATTGCAGTTACTATTTCTGAGAAGTCCAAGGTTCTAGATTTCCTCCTCTGTTATAGATAATTTATTAATTAAAAACGGAGACAAGACTGGATACAGACTTTTTTGGTATAATTCTATTACTGATTTTAGGTTATAAGAAAGAAGTAGAAAATATATAGGGAGAAAAAATGTGATATGTTCCTCGTCCCTTATTTGCTTTAATGGAGCTAAGTACATTGAGTTTATTATGAGGAAAAAATTGATATAGAAAACTACAAGTTACATTATTTTTAACTTAGAACTTCATAAATAAGATTAGGAACATCTACCTCAACAATCCATGAGTTTTTGCCATCAAATCAAGCCAGGATCTGGCTGCTATGCCTTTTTAAGAAAAAAACTTGTAGGCTCTCATTTATTTCCTTATATAACCTACAAAAATTGTAGCTTTTATTGGAGGAAAGTAATTATTCTTCTTACAAGTTATTTAAAGGAGGATGACCATAACCCCCATTATGATAGAAGGAAACAAGAATTATGACATAACAATAATAGAATATAATAAAAATATTAAATACTAAATAGGAAATCTGGCACACCCAACATGATTACAATAACCTCAAAATTAGACCAGAACAATCCTTTGTGAAGATATCCGATATTCGTTGAGCAATAGGGATAAATGACATGCAAATTGCTCTACAATGAATCTGCTCTTTTATAAAATGTCTGTCAATCTCTACATGCTTTGTGTGATTATGTTGCATAGAATTATTTTATGCAAATTGCTCTACAATGAATCTGCTCTTTTATGAAATGTCTGTCAATCTCCACATGCTTTGGGTGATTATGTTGCGTAGAATTTGATTATGTTGCATAGAATTATTTGCAATGCTTATAACTGCTTATTGTCGCAGTATAATTTCATCTGCAACTCTTCAAGAATTCTTTTCTCAACCATAACATCTCACACACTCTAGTAGCCATAACGTTATATTTTGCCTCCGCTTTAGTACTTGCATTCACATTCTATTTTTTACTTTGCCAGTAACTACGTTCTTCACACATAGGTGCAGTACCCAAAATTTGATCTCTTATCAATAACTGAACTTACCTAATTTGCATCAAAATAAATCTGTATATTCTTTTGCGTGATCTTCTGAAAGAGAAAGCCTTTGTATTGTGTAATTTTTAGATATCTGAGGACTTTTTTGACAGCTTTTGGGTGTGTCTAGCTGCAAGGAGGGTTTAAGTTAAATAGAATCTACTAAATTCAATAAATTCGGATTTATTAAATCTAAATATTGTTAAATATGAAATGTTGTTGGTTCAATTAAGGTTAAGTTTAGTTAATTCCATTTGATATGTTTGACATATATTTATTTGAATTATTTTTTTCTCGTGCTTAATCTGTTAAATCCAACTTATAAGTCGATTAAGTAAATTTGGTATTAATAACCAGAACAAGCAAAAAATGGATTTAACTTAAGGACGGATTTATCTAACCTATGTATTGTGTTAGGCTAGATTTATGTTAAATCTAAATTAAATCCTTTCAAAACTATCATAACAAACACCCCCTTAAGTTATTTCTCATTGGGAGAATGCATAAATCGACTTACTAAACTCACAACAAAGGCAATATTTGGTCGTGTGTGTGATGAGTTTATCATTTTTCCCACCAAATTTTATTATTTAGATGTATTCACTGGATCATCTTCCTTCCCATCTCCAAATTTCTGATTTGGATCAATATTAGTGTGCAGGTTTACACCTACTAGTCCCAGTTTCCTTTAAAAATGAAGAACATACTTCTGCTTGGAGATAACGTTTCTATTCTTCTATCGAGCGATCTCCATCCCAAGGAAAAACCTCAAAGATCCTAAGAATTTGGTTTCAAAGACAAATGATAAAGAATGCTTCAAACAATTCATGTCATATGCATCATTTTATGTGAGTAGTATTTTCCACATACACAATCATTATGAATATTTTTTTGATATTTTGAATCTCTGAAAAAGCTTGATCTCCCTGCCTTTGAGTATAACCTCGATCCTTAATAATTAGTGTAAATTTCTCGAACCACGCTCTAGGTGACTGCTTCAATCAGTATAATAATTTTTTCAGTTTACACTTTGTGCCAAATTTCTCAATAAATCCAAGAGGTGCATATATTTATATATGTGCTTCTTCCTCCCACTCCCCATTGAGGAAGGCATTTTTTAGATTCAATTGTTGTCGAAGCAAATTATGATTTGCTTCAAGTGACAGAAGAACCCTTACATAGTTGACTTTTGCAACTGGAGCAAATGTCTCTGAATAATTAATTCCATAGGTCTGATTGAATCTTTTGGCGATCAATTGAGCCTTGTACTGTTCTAGAGAGCCATCAAAATTATACTTGATTGTGAAGGCCTATTTATAACCGAAAATTGCCTTTCCTGTAGGTATATCAACCAATTCCCACAATTCATTTTTTTAATATCTTTCGTCTCTTCTAAAATAGCTTCTTTCCTCTTAGGGACTTTCAGTGCATCCTACATAGTACTTAGAATCTCCATACATGACAATTGTGAGGTAAAACCACAGAAAGTGGGTGAGAGTTTTAATACGACACGTAGTGGGATGATCGATGTTGGGTTCAAGGTTTTTCCCCAATGAAAAGACTAAACTCATGATGCGGTGGCCTGAACATGGGTAAATGTTTTGTTAAGACATTACCAGGTGGGTTCACGGATTCTAGGTACTGTAAACACTTCATAAATTCTTTCTTTTGAGTTGTCCTCATTCACGAATAACTAAAATCAAATGGTATCACTATCATAGTTTTTTTTTTTTTTTTTTGAACATCATGAGATGACATTGTTGGAATTTTGTTATCTAAGCGACTCAAGGTTGGGGATATATTATTTTGGAAGTCATTGATGTATGAAAAACCCTCAAATTAGCAGACAAATCTTAGTTTTGTTTTCTTTTTTGAAGATGAGGTGAAAAAAGTGGATTTCAAAAAATGTGACATGGATGGTAACAAATAATTTTCTAGCAGTGGGATCAAAGCATTTATACCTCTTTTGGTTTGGACCATGTTCAACGAACACATTGTTTGGCCCGAAGTTCGAGTTTTATGTTTTCTGATGAATGTGAACGGAAGCAGTACACCCAAATATATTTCGAGAAAAAAGTGGGAGCTGGTTCTTTGAAGAAAAAATTTTGAAAATTTTCAAAAGGTTTTTCAAAGTTTAGGACTTTTTTGGGTGTTTGGGTGTTCTATGTATGAAAATATTTGCAGTAAGTGGACCTTCACCCCAAAGATATTTAGGCACCTGATTAGTAAATAGCAAAGCCCAAACTATCTTAATAAGTGCTTGTTTTTCATTTTAGGCAACAAGTTATACAATATATTAAGAACATGGAGAACATTTTGAACCACCCATTTTGTTGTAAAGTGTCAACATAGGAGCTTTGATATATTATTCTTCTCTTAAGAAGGAATTGATCAAAGCATTTTTTAAATACTCTTGTCCTTTGTCACTTTGTACTATTTGAATGATTGTTTGAAATTAGTTTTATAACATGGTGTAAAATTTTTAAAAATTATTTATACTTTTGATTTTCTTTCTTTAAATTAACCCAACCTAACCTAGTATGATCATTAATGAAAGTCATAAACTATATTTTTTCCAGAGTGAGAGTTTTATAAGGACCCAATGTATCATTCTGAATCAAAGTTAATGGTGTAGTAGTTTTGTATATTTCTAGAAAAAGTGATGCGCGATGATATTTGCAAATTAATGCACTTCACATTGAAACAATGACATTTTTATTTTGAAAAAAATTAGTAAACAAGTATTTTTAATATTGAAAATTGGGATAGCCTAATCTATTGTTCCATAACATAATTTTATTATTTTTAGATGTGGAAATATAATTTAAATTAGTACTTTAATATTGTCTATTCGAGTCAGGTTCATCTTCAAGATAATATAGTCAATTTTTTTCTTAACACTACCAATTATCGTCGCTGTGATCATTTCCTGAAACTCATTGTAGGTAGAATAGAAGTTAGCTAGGCATTGATAATGAATAATAATTTTACGAATAGACAACAAGCTATACAATATATTAAGAACATGGAGAACATTTTGAATGGTTAACAACGAGTAAATTTTCACGATTCCTATCCTGACATTTACCGAGAGAGAGAAGTCGACAATTTTGACCTTTTTATTTCTGACACATGGTCTATCGAAAGAAAATATTTTAGAACAACTCGTTATATGATTGTTTGCATCAGAGTTAATAATTCAAAAGTGAGAATAATTAGGAACAACTCGTAACGAAGCAGTTGTCAGAGAGTTATTATTTTGTTTTAAAGAGAAAGGCTGAGTCAGTGATAATAATGGAGATTGATGAAAATTTTACAGAGTGCTCTAAT